TAACTTTGGAAGGCAAGCCCTTGCTTTATAGAGGAAACTTAATGCCAACCGACTCAGCAACTTTCTTATGGCTAATAACAGAGCCCACAAATTGGAGCAGGGTGGGAAACTGGACAACTGTACCAGTTGCTCCCTTTCAGCTCATGGGTCTTACTGAGCCCCAAGAAGCAGGAAAGACTGTTAAGACCTGTACTTTTTTCCATTTTGTTGAGAAAGTATCTGATAAAGCCTAGGTTAGTCTGAAAACTAGCTATGTAGTCAAGGATGACCTTGAATTCCTGATCCTCTTCCAGAATACGGGATTCAGGCATGTACTATCATATCCAACTGAACATTTACAAGGCTACTTTTTCTTTCTTTTCTTGGCAGTGCTGGGAATTGAACCCAGAGCTCTGGCATATGAAGCAAGGGCTCTTCACCTTAGTTCCAAGACCCATACTTTTTTTTGAGACAGGGTCTCACTGTGTAGCCCTGGCTGGTCTGGAATTCACTATGTAGACCAGGCTGGCCTCAAACTCAAGAGACCTGTCTACCTCTGCATCCTGAGTGCCAGGATTAGGTATGTGTCACCATTCCCAATGCGCCTGCACTCTTAGAGTTGAAGGCAGTTTCAGGTTCAGGGAAACAGCTTGGGCATAGTATTTTTATCCAGCCTTCTCTGGATCTCAAACCTAACACTTCCTTTTCAAAACTAAGGCTGGAGAGATGGCTCAGAGGTTAAAAGCACTGGCTGCTCTTGCAGAGGACCAAGGTTCAGTTCCCAGCACCCACATGACTGCTAACAACCATCTGTAACTCCAGTTCTAGGAATTTGATGCTCTCTTCTGACCTCCTCCAACACTGATTACAAGTGCACTTACATACACGCAGTCAAAAATAATCATACACATAAAATAAAAATAATATTTTTAAAAGCTAAGCTCCATTTTTCATCTGATCTATATCTGAACACACTACCCTAACTCATCACTATTAGATCCTGAAAATACTAACCTTGAAACAAGGATGGCATGGCATGTTGATTCTTCAAAGTCCCATGAGGTTCAATGAGCCAAACAAAGTATCAGGTATGAGTATGCATGGGGTGAGGGGTTTTGCCTGTGGTGTACAAGCTCACAGTCCCCAACACATAGTGAAGATCAAAGGCATGCAATGCACGAAAATAGTAACTGGCAATGCTGGTTTTCCCACTTATGTTTGTAGGTAATTTAGTCCATGATTCTTAAGTCCAGTGATTTTGTGAGGTTCAAATAATGATTTCTTCTATTTTTCTGTACCTAATACTGAAACATGTAAGTGCTCAGCAAATGGTAAAAAGACACAAAGAAAGGGAGATCAAGTGGATAGGGATGGGGGCAGAGTTCTGGTTAGCATGGTAACGTGTAAGTTTTAATCATCCAAGCCATCTCTGTCCCGTTTGTCCAGACTTCTTAAACTAACTCGAGGGAAAAGCCATCCTCAGAAGCTGCTCAGATGCTGGGAACAGGGGGGAGTCCTCAGCTGACTGCCAGATGTCTGGGTGTGAGAGGAAATGAGGCCAAAAGCCCAAGAGGTCAGGAGTGGGAAAGAGGACTTAAGAGGATTGGGAGACCCAAAAGCTGAGCCAGCCAAAACAAAGCCCCTCCCCATGCTCCCAGGCCCCATCCCCAAGCCAACCAAACCACTTGCTACCGCCTCCAGGGTATGGGAGGAGACTTGGCAAGACCACAAAGCCCATTTCTAGCAGAAATGGCCATCTACAGCTGGAGGCAATGGAGCACCCATGCACCTCCTCATAGGTCCAGCAAGAGGGTTATGGAGCCACTATGGTGGTCTGAATGTAGTCCCAGGCCCCTGCACTGTGATGAACAGGAAGGCTCCCCTTTTGGCTTATGGGCCTAGTTCACCAAACTCACTCTTCTCCCCTGACATTCCAAAAGGGCTGGGGTCACCAAGGAGGTGGAACTGAGCTCTGGGATTGACTCCGGCTCCTATCAAACATGGGGAAGCTCTTTCTCCATTCTCAGACTCAATTCTGACATCCTCTTGGCTAGTTCCTTTCCTCTAGCCTGACAAGCTCACCTGTCCAACTTCACTGCTACTTATAAATTACCTCAGAGAGAAGGGGATCCTCTGGACCTTTGCAAAGAGCTTGGAAGAGCAGGCAAGAAAAAACAGGAGGAAGAGTGTACGGAAAGTTGAGGATCGCAGATTCCTGAAAACATGGCATTTCTGCGGTGGTCAAAAGGAGAGGCAGAAGGCAGAGATCCTGGGCACAGTACCAAAATAGTTTCCAGACATCTTTAGCCAGTAGAATGTTCCCATGGGGCAGAGCGTGGGAGTCCAAAAGCAGGGCAGCCTGATGCTCTCGGAATGGGGTACTCTCTTCTGTCCAGGCAGCCAAAGGCGAGGAGGTGGCAACAGTGTGTACTATGGCATGGTCCCTGGGATATCATGGGTAGACATGGAGCACAGTAGACAGCAAACCAACAACTTGCATTCATCAAGCTCAGCTCTATGACTGTGCCAGGCACTGTGCACACCCACACATCAGGATATTACAGGCAGCACTTAGCACACAGGGAGATGTGCATTATTTCCTCTGGCAGCTGGATACCATTCGCCCCTGGGGCTTACTCCTCTTGCACCCGTTCCCGTGGGAACACATAAACACACACACACACACACGTGCACATACACCCTTAGTCCTGATCACAGAAGACAGAAGAAGCTCACACACCAGATATTTACTCTTATACCATGATGACCTGATGAATAGAAGATTGAGCAAGCTGTGTCACTTCCAACTGGCTACCTGAGGAAATCCTATGTGGGAAAACACAGACCCAGAAGCAGAGGGGCTCAGACTTGAATGCTAGCAGTGCCCAGGCTGAGGGAAAGCTATGGTTCTCAGGTGACTCAATGTAAATATGCAGAGATACTCCAGCAGTAGGAATGCAGCGCCTAAGAACAGTCAGGGAAGATCTACATGGAGGGCTTCCTCTGGTTTTCAAGCAGCCCCTGCCACATGCTCATACCATTGGGTCTGGGATACTAGACAGGAAGCCTCCAGAAGATCTGCAGAACTGGCTTCATCCCAGGCCAGCAGAACACTGGTGGAGAACTGGAGGACCCATTGGCAGAGTGGAAGGGAAGCAGGTCTGCCAGGGTAAGCCATCACCAGGGCAGACAGGTAGGCAGGGTACTTGGGGGAATAAGCAGGCAAGGCTGAAGGTACAGAGAGAGGAGCTGCCTCCTCCCTGAGCCCATCTGTGCCCATCCCTTTGTCCTGCTTTCCCTAGGGCTGGGGGAAGAGGTCAACCTCATGATCTTCACATCTTCAGTGCCCAGTGAGTACAATTCCCCCAGTCAGCAGTGGGTGGCCAAGGGAAGAAGTTGGGGCAGGAGATCCTGGCTTCCAAGAAGAGGCAGTGAGAGCCAGCATGAGCCCCAGCGCATTCTCATTCTCTCATATTCTCTCATATTCTCTCATATTCTCTCATATTCTCTCTCTCTCTCTCTCTCTCTCTCTCTCTCTCTCTCTCTCTCTCACACATACACACACACACACACACACACACACACACAATATCACTGATGCATGCTTGCCTGGGGGTCTCCCACAATCCATCCCAGGTGATTGCCCACAACTCCCAGCCTTACCAAGGCATGCCAGCTCCCCAGGGGCGCTGGGACCATCTGGTTCTTTCCTGAGAAGCTATGTTTCAGAAGCAAAATCCATCCCTTCCCGACGCAGTTCCGTGGAAAGAGGCGAACAACCCTGTCCTCCAGTTCTATCATGCAACTCATGAGCCCCCAAATGCTGCCATGAGGAAGGAGAGCCCCTCCCTGTCAGTGTCATCACTCAGACACTGAGGTGGCAGGGTGCCATTTCCAGCACCTACCTCTGGGGATCTTCCCACAGCTTTCCCAGGAAGCAGGAGGTGGATTTGCAGAGAGCAAAGTCTAAGAGCACTCAGGGACACTTGCAGCTCATCCACCTACTACCTAAACAGTCAGGCACCTCTGGCTTCCGGTATGCTAGGGAGAGCCCCACTGGGCCTGGCCCTGCCCACCTGTCCCACACTCCCTCCCAGTCTCTGTTCTTGAGAGTGACATACTGAGCTGCCTCCTACTGTTTTCTCCTGGGCCAAAAGATACTGCTGAGTAATTCCAAACTTAAGGTGGGCCCCTCCAGCCCCCAAACGGGCAAAAATTCAAGGAAATCAACGGATCTGGTCCTGACCAACCTAGAAGGATTAGCCATGACTTCTTAATCACAGATTCTGTGCCAGACTCTCCATCCCCCCTGTCCCAAATAACACCACCCGGGGCTGTCAGAAAACCCACCTGGAATAGCTCAAAGCTCCTTTCTCTGCTTCCCTTGCACCTGGGAACACTGCCTTCCCAGTCCCCCAGACACCAAACCACATAGAGTAGCAGCAGAAGCTCGGTGGCTTCTCAGCCATGATGTTGCATCAGCCCCCACCCGACCCAAAATATCCTCACCCCCACCACCTCCTCTCCTCTCTCCAGTCATCTCCATGGTGACAGCAGCATGACACCCTATCAGCTTCAGACGCAGGAGCACAATTCTCCCTCCCTCTGTCACTCTCCCCACACACACCCCCGGGATTTCTGCAGATTGGATGCAAACCAACAGTGCCAGGAACATTCTCTAGAGATTTCCAAAGGCAGGGGTGGGGAGTGGGTTGCATGTCTTTAAAAAAAAAAAAAAAAAAAAAAAACAGTTCAACAAACCAAATCCCAACTGCACCCAATCCATCCAGCTGAGAAAGCAAAAAGAATCCAAACAAAACCCACACAGGCCTGAGAATTCATTGGCCGCCCACACTCTCGCCGCCCCTCCCCCTCAGCTGCTGCTACACACACAGTGGGAGATTAAGGGATCACCAGAGGGGACCCTTTATTTTTATCCAATCCAGTCAGACACTTCACCCTTACCGCGCGCCCGTGTACACACACACACACACACACACACACACACACACCCACGGTACCTTGACAGTCGCCCCTTGTGCCCAGGGCCCCGTTCCTTCACCAGCCTTTATTTCCACCTGCAAAAGAAGCCAGAGACACTGGTCAGCTGGTGGCAGGAAAGCGGAAAGCCCTCCTGCGCGCACACTGAAGGGAAGGGGCCTGGGGAAGAAAGGCCAGCAGGGACGCCTTCCTGCCTCCAGCTGCCGCCCCGCCCGCCCGTGGACGGGCTGCTCGGCCTTCCCAGTGTTTTTGTTTTCATTTCTTTCTGGTAGTCCGGGGATCCTAGCGCGCCTTGCTCCCCGGCCTCCGTCCGGCCTGCCCTTCCTTCCCGGCCCTGCGCTCTACCTCGGCCGGCCTCCTCCGCTACACCGGCCGCCGCCGGGCCTCCCATTATCCCCGCCGAGGGAGCGCACCGAGGGAGGCACTGCAGAGGCGGCGGCCGCCAGCTGCCGGCTGCTCCCGCCCCACCGGGCTGCTGTGCGAGAGGGCGGCGCACGCACGCCAGCCAATCCCGCGCCCGGCCCTGCCCCCCCGCCCGGCCCTGCCCAGCAGGGGGGGGGAGGGGGCGCCCTCCACCGAGGGCCCCTGAGCCGCCAGGGCTGCTTCCCAGGCCCGCTGCCACTCCCAGGCAGGCCGGGGATCCCGCGGCACCCCGAAAGCACCAAACAGAAGGCGTCCCCTGCACCTCCAGCTGGCTGCAGCAGGGGTAGGGCAGAGCCAGGGTCTCCCATCCCTGCCACTCTAGCCAGCCAGAGCTGGAGGAGCTCCAATCCTCCAAGGAGAATCCAGGACACGGGAACCTTTACCCCGTTTTGCAGATGAGTGGAGTAACTTACCCAAGGTGACACCGCTAGAACACAGCGGAGCTGAAGCTCCAAGCCAGGTCTGTCCGCTCTGAAGACTCATACTCTTAGCCATCCTGCTCCTCTATTGCCCTGCCCTCCTGCACCCGGCAGCAAAAGCAGGCTGCAGACCACAGGGTATGCCTCTCCAGGTCAGCTGTGCCTTCCCTGGCACTCAAACGCCTACCTTATCCTAGGATTGCTGCCATCCGGTGCTGATATACACCACCGGTTTCTCTCTCCTGAAGAGGCTCAAAGTGAACACCCCCCGCCCCCCAAAAAAAGAAACCACTCCATAGACTTCCAGACCTCCAGGAAACAGAGGAGAGGTGACTGAGACCCTAAGAGCTCCAGAGTTCTAGTTCCTAGACTCCTCTTTTGTAAAGACTGCACCAACCAGGAGTCTAAAGAGGGCGGGGATCGGGGGTGGGGGTGGGGGTCCTACTGATCTACACTCTCAGATCCAATTCCCAAGCATCCCTGGACACCTCCTTCCTCTGTCCCATCCCCTCTCTGAAGTGGAACATCCAGAGCCTCCACCTCACATACACTAGTACCCACATATCTGGGCTCTGTTCCTAGCCGGTGGTAGCTTACCTCTCTTAGCCTCTCTTTGCTCATCTGCAGAATGGACCAGGCAGCCATCTCACACAGCTATGAGGCCCTGAGAAGACACAGAGCCCACTGCCTGCTGTGCTGTGGGTGCTGACATCCAGAACTGTACATTTCTGCCAGAGCTCAAGGTGCTGCTTCTTATTCTCACAGATGAATAAGCTGAGGCCTGTGAGAAGTGACTCAGATGCATGCCCCTGCTCCAGTGACTCGTTCTATTACCCTCTCCACCACAGATGCCTAATTGCTTCCTTCCCCAGGGTCCCCAGGGGGGTGCTCAGAACTGGATAAGCTGCCTTAGGAGAGGGGCAAGCCTGCCTCTGGTGAGAAAGCTCCAGGGCCCACACCTGCCTCCCCTTGGGGACAAAGGGCAGTTTTACTGGGCCCCTCCCAGGGCAGGGAGGGAGGCAGATGACAAGATAGGATAAGGGACAATGTCCTAAGCTATGGTTATAAGTGGTAACCTGAGCTTCTGTGCCTCTTAACTACTACTACTGACCAGTCTAAATGGAATCCTCCCTTTATCTGGGTTCCCAGACCCCCATCAAACCGGTACCCCTGCATCCACTTAGAACGCTGTTGAGCAGGAAAGATCAACACAGCTTGGATAGTAGCTTGGATAGTAGCAATTAATATTGCTGCTACTCTGGTGGCCACAATTTATCAAGCCCCTGTTACACATCAGGCCCTGTGCCAACTGCACTGTAGGATCAGTTCATCTGACCTACTCCACATACAACCTTGTCTAGAAGGAAAGAGTTTTAGGGATGCTGAGTGACTTGCCTATCAACACAACTGGTGAGTGGTAGGCTGGAATTCAAACCTAGACTTTTCTCATCTTCTGTCTACCCCCTCTTTCTGCCAACCCCTGAAAGATAAGAGACAACTGGGCTCACTTGAAGTGACTACTTCCTGTAAAATGACAGATCTGAGAATAGTAATGTTTTAACCTTGGAAATAGACTTCCAATACTGCTGCTTCTGCCTGGAAAGCAAGCTTGTGTGGAGGTAGGCTGAATCTAAACAGTGTCTTCCCCCTCTTCCAGGTTCTTAGTCACCAAGCCTCCCTGAGCAGCAGTGGGCTCCTCTAGGGCTTTAGGTAACAGCATACTGCCTCTTCTGAGTATCAGTCATATACAGTTGAAGTTACTTATTTACAGTCCTCCCCAAAAGGGTGAGGCCCTGTCTCCCCCACTTTCTGAGGCTCCCCACAGAACTAGATTGTGCTGAATTCTACTGCAGGAATGTGGGGCTGGCATTGGTCAGCCTTCTAGATGAGGTTCTCAAAGCCTGGGGGAAAAGGGACAGCATCTGCTTTCCTGGGAGGACAGGACCTGCCAAAGCACAACCGCAGTCCCAGGCTTGTTCAGCCAGCATGATGCATCTTCCTCACCAACTTGCAGGAGCTGTGAGCCAAGTTCCCACCTCAATGCCCAGTTTGACCCCTCTTTCCCTATTCTAACTCAATGCCACTCCAACTTCAGGCCTTTACCTTGCCCTCCAGAAGCTCATGGCTATACCAAAGGAGCCTGTGGCCCCCAAGGCAGCCTACCTGCTCCCATTCTTATCCTACCCTGGCCTCCTTCCTTCTTTGGAGGCACCTGATGTTTGGGCCACTGAGCCAGAATACTTCACACTTGACCCTCCTCTCATCTCTATATGCCATTCTTTTCTACATTCAAGACTTCTAGCAACCAACTCCTCTGCCTGTATTTGAGACTCCTCTGCCTAAGGACAGAGCATCCCTCCCCCACCTTCTATCCTGGACTCCTAGTTCCCACTGCACTGGCAGCAGGAGGACTGGGACCATAGTCCCCTACACTGGGGCAAGGTGAATGAATTCATTTGCTTATAGAACACACACAGACTCTCAGGAACTATGGGTATCCATAGACCAGACCCTACATAAAGAGGGAATACATGGCACATTGAGGAGAGGAGGAAACTTGCAAATAAACCAAGCATGAGCCCAGGTGGGACTCCACAAATGGAGACATGATACAGAGTATCTTATTTAAACCTTAAACCAAACTAACAAGACAGGAATTATCCATGCCCATTCTACAGATGGCGAAAACTGGGATACAGAGAGTTCTAAGCACCTTGCCCAAGGTGACACAGCTAGAAAATGACCCCCCAGGCTCTTGCTGTCCTCTCACTTGTGGTACATTCAGGGTCACTATAAATAGCCCTACAATGTTCAAGTCCTCTTACCTCTTTCAGAGTGAGCTGCATACCACAGACACATTTCTTCTCTTCCTTTGCTTTAGCCCCTGTCCTGACAAGGTCACTCTCCACAGGGCCTTCCTTCTAACCTCAGTTGAAGCCCACTTCCTCTGGGAGGCCCTCTCTGCTTATTCCAGCTTGCTGCCGGTCCTTGGTACTTCTAGCATTTCCTGTTTAACACTTGGAGTTTGTCTTCCATGTGTCTAGTCTCCCCACCAAGAATAGCTGAAACCCTGCCATTCCAAAGCTCCCAACACTGAAGGTACTTGGAATCAACCGTGAGGGAAGCCTGTGACCTCCTTTCCTTTACATCACACAAAGGATCCTGCCAAAGAAACCTAATACCACCTCCACCTTCAGAGCCCATGTTTGAAGTCCCCTGTGTCCATGCATCAATTTCTACCCAAGTAATTGCAGCCCATCACACACACACATCATCCCCTATATTTGAAACTCCTTGTGGTTGTCATGGGAACTACTTTTGCCTTCATTCACAGATCAGACCTCGCAATTAGCTTTGGCAGCGGAAGTCTGTGTCAACAGCAATGCTGAGGAGGAGGAAGCAGAGGAGGAGCAGCAGCAGCAGCATCAACAGAAAAAAGATGCTCCTTCTTAGAAATGCAGCAGAACCAGACTGAGCAAAGGCACCCACCAATGTCCTCACTGTCAACTACAGATGGGAACCCCACCCTCTCACTTCCACTCCGAAAAATAAGATGCCTCTGACATCTGACCTGGGCCTCTGACAGGTAGCAGTCACTCTGCCTCTATACCCTATGCATCCTTTTAGATGCTAGGAGAAGGTGCTATATTCCGAGTCTTGTCATGGTCAAATTCAACAGTCTTGGGCTACCGAATGTTCCAGGACCCCATCAAATAACAAGAGACTATGACACTATAGAAACAGCAGGCTGAGTCCTTCAGAAACCCAGGGTGGCCAGAGGGAAGACTTCCAGGAGGAATTAACACAGCGCATCTAAACTTCCACCTTAAGAATCTACGAATACTTTCTGGTATGCCCAGTAGCTTGCCTGTACCCTCCCACACCCCAGCCACCAGCCAGAGCACTCCAGGAGCAACAGGGTCAGGAGAGACACAACCTTCCTCAATCCTTCACCAGTCACCACCCTCACACTCATGACCTATTTCTTAGGTTCCCAGAGGGGTTACAAGAGGCCCAAAGGTGACTAGGGCTGATCTCTGCCCTCAAGGCACCCCTCCCTTCCAGCTTCACCACAATGTGCTGCAAGGAAATGTTTCTGCTAGTCTAACTAAAGACAAAGATAACACTGTCACTCCTTAAGTCCTGTCTGAGGCTAAGCACCTCCCTGGCCCCCACCAGTCCCAGGCAATGTCTGCTGAATGGTCTACAGGTCAAAGCACATACTGTTTCACCTC